GTCTCTCTAACAATTCACCACACTATGTTGTTATATTAATATGAGCACAATGATCAAGATTATTTATTTGTTCAGTAATGGCAAAAGTGTTATAATAGCCTGAGCTGGCATTCTGTGTATGTTGAACGAAATGAGTGAAGTTTTCATGTTTTGGAATGCTGATCAGATACTAGTCCATGAGATCTATCATGTTTTGTTGTTTCTGTTTGCTTGCAATATATATTTTTTTCTCTTCCCCTCAACACAAACTTCTGTGGTTGGCTTTTTTCTTCTTTTTTTTTTGCCACAATTGTATTACTTAGCTGGAGCAGAGTGTGCTTGCAGTTGATTTTTTTCCTGTTTTGTGTGCATGAACTACAAGAACAAGTAGTGATATTTTTCTGGAGAATGAGATGAAGTTAATACTTGATACTGGATGTCATGTTTTGTGGTTCTTCTAGTGCTTTATTGGTCAAATTCATAAATAAACCATGTCTTACTGAGTTGGGATTTTAAGGAGTAAAGAAGTAGAACGGTAAATTGGAGACTTATTGATGCTTACATGTTTTCAAACGAGCAATTTTGTTATTTGATCTGAGGAACTCAGCTTCAAGAGATGAATCAAAAGCATCAAAAGCATATCTGAACTCAGGCTGTTTAGATAAAAAGGCAAGCTCTTTCTATTGCATCAAAAGCATTGTACATCTTACACCCAGGCATACCTGGGGAAATTTCTTTATACAGGTTGACAAAACTTTGAATCAAAATTTGTGTATTTACAGCTTAGAAACACTATTTACATTCTATCCTTTTTCCAGCATCACCAACTGGCTTCTTGCTCTCCAAATGCCATGTCTATATGGTAGCATCACCAACTGGCTTCTTGCTCTCCAAAACCAAACCATAAAGATCATCAAAGCAATACAGAATTCAACCTCTTTAAAAATAAATAGAAACAGACCTGTGAAAACAAAAAAATATCATCTACTCAGATAAACAACATAAACCAATAAAGCTTTGGACAATTCATATATCTGTATTTAAGTTTGCAAAAAATAATGAAAAACCAATTCCCAGGTACTGACCCAATTGTAAAAGTTCAACACAAGAATTTATAAAATAATCACTCATGTATATTGAATATTATTCAACAATAAGAAATTCTGCCAAGAAATTCT